ACAGTAAAAAAAATGCAAATGACGACTTTAGTCGTCAATGGCAGTGAATGACTTAAAAGTTGTGTATCAAAAATATCGATATGGCAATATATTGTGATATTTTTCCCCGCGATATTACATCAATATTCAAAAGCTGTGTATCTAATTTTTGTAAGAATTTACATGCAAACATTTGTGCATTTTCTTTTGTTTTGGTGCAATTCAAATGTTGACCGCTAGTTGGCAGCAGTGTGCAATAGGTATCGTTTCCACCACTGAAATGTAATTCCCTTTATTATGGTTCAGATACCTCATGTTAAACATGTTGCGTATCAGTTTGGACTGTTAATTGAATATTCCTACAATAAATTCAGTCAAAAAAATCGTTAACTGACTGAATGTATTGCAATTTATCGTGATGCATAGTATTATCTCCCCTGTATCGTGATACATATCATATCGCCAGAATTTCACCAATACACAATCCCTAATCGTTATAGTTGTATAATATGAAACTTCTCTCAGCCTATTTTAACGTATGTTAGCACTTTGTTTGTTGAATCCATTTAAAACCTCAGAGAACAACACTGAGAAATCTGTGTCTTCTTGTGCACTTCATATGGCTATTTATGTCGCCGTTTAAGACACACTAATGTTTTGTGACAGATGAGCATACAAGGGTTAGGCTCAAACTGGGGCACTAACAGGAAGTAAAAGTAGGGGTATAGAAAGAGGAGTAGATGAAAAAGCCCAATATCTCTCGCTGTTCTGAGCAAGCCTTAAATGGAGAACAGCAAACCCAAAGGTTCCGTAGGGGAGAGAGAAAGGTTGCGGTTCTCCTGGAAGGTTTGTAGAAATGAGGTGTCACAAGAGGATTTCCTCAGGGTGCGGTACAAGATGAGCCCATTTCTTATCATTTCCCACTCCCAAATGTGATCTGCTTTGAATTCACTAATGCTGAAAGAACCCCACAGACTTCCAGATGAAATCTCAGCACACATCCCTGACAAACTGCCATCCACCACACGAGGATTAAACAGGCCTCACATTTCAAATCCCTGCCAACAAGATGTAATATATGCACTTAAATACATGCAACAAAACTTCAGTTTTTGATTTTCTCATGGACGATTTTACGCTGTTTTATATTCAAAGACTTGTGAACAAAAGAAAATGGCTAACGAGAAAGATTTAGGGGAAAAAATGTTTCAAAAATGTTTGCATGTGAAGAATTAAGCAAAAACTGATTCAATTTAGGTCAAAATGTGTTAAAAGTTGATTAAATATCAAATTCATATTTTTATGCTAATGCTTGTGATAACATGTCTTAACTCACATCTTTTCTTAACTTATTAAAAGTGAATATCTTCATATATATATATATATATATATATATATATATATATATATATATATCATGTGTATTATTTTCATATTTTACCAATTACTTTGATTACTCACATTGTTGCTTATGGGACCCTTACACGTTACGTTTTACACATTTTTTACACATTTTGTATTATCATTTTTCCAGTTAAATTATGTATGAGTCTCAGTGGAGAGAAATGTGACCATTAGCATATCTGATGGGAACGGTGGAGCCGTTCTCCACCTCTCTCTGTCCTTGGAACGAGGCAGAAAAACCTGACTGTTCGTCAATACCAGGTTATTTTATCCACGCGGGCCTGGTTCATCTACACCATTCTAAAGTTCTGCTAATGACACCCTGAGACGTCCTCAACGTGATGGGGGACCCAGAGGGCTCCAGCACCAATATGAATGTAGTCTAGCTGTGTCTGATCATCTCTGGAAGCCCGTTGACAAAAAAACACCGCAATTAGAAACACCTCAGACGCTCCAATCTGAAATGGGACACTGACTAAGTGTACTTACCGTCTACACCTCAGAGACAGAAAAAAAGATGTCTTTGTGGTTGGGGATCTTTCAACATGTCTCTGGGTGTTTAATGGGAAAAAATATGCTCATTTAACCACAAAGTAAAAGTAGATTAGATCAAAACTAGAGCTCAGTTACAGATTTAGGAAGACCTATAAGTCAATATTGTTTTGTTTTTATTCACTAAGCTAACTGTACGTTTGTTGAACTTAGTCACTGTAAAAGTGGGGTTGTTAAGTTTATCGTCAAGTCAGATTTATATTATTGCCTCTGTGAAAAAGCCTAATCTTATTGTTTGTAGTTCCAGTAAAAAAAAAATAAAAAGGTTTTAGCCAAAAGAGTTACACAAATAAACCAACAGAAACATGTTGCAGTTTTACACCCACGTCCCTTGGAAAGCAACACATTATCCCTTCTCTCTTTGGGCCATTTAGACCACCAAGGCTACCTTTTGAAAAATACTTACCTTTTTAAAGAAAGTTTAATGTCACATGCAATTATTTGACCCTTATGAATATTAAAGGTTCCCATCTCTGGCCTATTAAAAATGCATGTGGCATTGTGGTTGTTGATCACGTTTGGAACGGCCATGCAAATTGGACTGTCTTTTCTGTCAGGGCCTTAGATGAATAATGTAGCTGTGTTGTATGTTCAGGGACACACCACTGACAGTCAATTAACAAGTTTGATTGGTGTGCGAACGCATTCTTTTGAACTGTTAATTTTATGTAAATAGTATTCCCTCTCTCTTCTTTACTGTCTCTCTTCCCCATTCGCGATCAACACAGAAACCGCAAAACCCTAGATCCTCAATTCCACCTCCCACTAAGAGTAACCAGAGTGGGATGCTTAATAATTGATCATCACACACCTGCTTGGTAGACGCTATGGGAAAATGCCGTTAACAGTCAAGGGGCCCTATGCTCGCACCTTTTGATATTCAAATTGACAAATGGTAGTTGGTCTTTATGAATTCTGAATGCAGCCGGCACTTTTCATGTGGAAGCGCTTGTTAAAAGATTGCAGCCCCACGTCCAACCTGATGGACCTCTTCTGTGTTGCAGTGGATATGATGGCATTTGATGGCTCGTAAATGGAATGCCAATTGACAATTTGTTGTTGATGTGTGGGAATCCGGCTTTTATGTTTGGCAGTCACTGTAATGCAGGCTCCTGGGCAGATCGTGCTAGCAGGTAAATGATCCAGTGATTGATCCAAATGGTTGAAAGCAGCGTGGGCCTTATCTCCCTCTTCTCTCTGCCCTCTCGCTCGCTCACGCCTCTCTAACTTGTCTTCCCTCCATCTCTTGTCTCATACACCATCCCAGTAATTTGTAGCAGCAGAGATGGAAGCTAAAGCTTCATCAAAGCTGACAAGTGAACCCAGAGCTGAGGATCATGGCTAACCCATTCAATTATGGAAATAGCAACGACAGTGTCTGCCCTCTAGCTAAACAGTTGTGTGGCTAACATCTTGTTTTTGTTAGCATTCTGTAAAAAACGTGATTTTCACACTCTTAAGAAATGGAAAACAGTCTGTTAGGTATTTTTCACCATTGAGTGAGAGATTCTGTAGCCTCCAAACACCCACATAGACTCTAGTGTCAAAATCACACAAGTAAAACAAGATATGGGTTTCAAATAATCAGAATGAAACGTAAAGTTTTGTTAGTGCCAAGCCTTACCTATATGATTGGTGTTGATTTCAATCAAAATCACTGATTGTGTCTTTGCTAACCAGGAAACAGTTGACTCTCTCCAGAGATTGTGAAGCATGTTTGAGTCTTTAAAGGCCTTAGCATATCATATGCATCTATTTGCATTGACCAGTGCTTAGTGTCCAGGGTTAAAGCCATCCAACCTTAAACACCGTCGCTCTACCCGGTCTCTAAAGGCCTGACCTCCTTCATTCCGACTTGTCTGTCTGCATTAAGCAGATAGATTTTTCCCAGGTTTCATTATTCAAAGAGCTTAATTCTAAGTGAGGTATTTAACAGAGAATTGGGCTTATTATCACATGGTTAATTATGCTTATGAATAACATTGGTGCCACTGAGAAATATTGGCATGCATCTAAGAGAATACATGCTTGTGTTAAATGTGTGAAATACGAGCTGTTAGTGATAAGATGCTGACAAATGGGAAATGGGACTTGTTAATTAATGGACCGCTAATCAAACATGGGCTTATAATTAATGCTAAATTGATTATAGCACATGGGTTTAAAGTGTATTTCTGGCTTTAAACAAAGCTGACTTTGTAGTTTCATGACTTTTTGTAATTAAATTGCATAGCAGGTATATTTTAAAATGTAATACTTGCAACATTTTTGACAAATGAATGCAACATGTTCTCTCAGAGCACATGAAGAAGCCTTGAGTATAGTTTAGCCATGAAAACTAACCTTTTATTGTGTGTGCGAATGTGTTAGAAACTTTAAAAGCTTTTACTTTGAAAACTGTAATACCCTTTTGTAAACGATAACATTGATACATTTGTTATCTTTTTTCATATACAGGTCTCACCAAATAAGCTGGACTTAAAAAAATGAAGGGGCAACTTCGGAGTATGAAACTCTTGAACCTATGGTGCATTCATCAAATAAATCAATGTTTTCTTTTAAATACCATTCACTAGACAGCTCGATCATGTTGAAAACTGACCAATTCCAGTCATCTGCCAAGCCGGACTGGTGGCGTGGTTTGAGGGATAACAAGTGGTCAACCCAATGCTTTGGCCTATATCAGGGGTATTACATTTCGGGCCTGGAGAGCCAGTATCAGCATGTTTTAGTTTTAACTCTGCTTCAACACACCTGATTTCAATCATCAGGTAATTAACTTGCTTCTGCAGAGGCGGATGAGCTGCTGCACAGGTGTTGGAGCAGAGAAACCACTAAAACATGCTACCAGTCCACCAGGCCCGTAATCGAATACCCCTGGCCTATATGTTCATTGTTTCTGATTGATACATCATAAGGTCCCTTTTGATCTCCAGCATTCCTGTTTGACACCTCACTTTTGTCTTGTTTTATTTAGTTCTGAGCTTCAAAAAGTCACAACTACGTACTCTTACTTTATCCATTTTGACTAAATTGTTTCTTTATTTTCTCATTTTCCTGTCCAGATAGATGAGGTGGTGTTCTGTGCTGGTCAGATTGCTTTGGTTCCCTGCACCATGAATTTGGTAAAAGCTGACATCTTTACACAAACCCAAATGTCCTTCAGCCACATGAAGAAGGTTCTGGAAGCTGTGACTGACAGCTTGACTCTGGCTCATGCGGTCCAGGCTCACTGCTACACTACAAGATACCAAAACATCCCAAAGATCAGAGATGTCTGGAACAAGATGCTGAAGACTTCTGTCGAAGAAAAGGTCAGCCACTTTGGAGTCACGTTTTAGTTTATGAAGTGTGGTTAAAGAGGGAATTAATGACTGGCTGCTTTATTATAGATGCAGAAGAAATATTGATCATACTTATAGAAAGAGCTCATGTTTAATGGATTAGAAAACAAATGAATCCATGCATCAATTAATCAGTAAAAGAAGGAAAACGCCACAAGTTTCTCAGCGAGGCTTTTAAGATTTGTGTTTTATAGTTGTTTAAAAAAACGTGGATGTTTCTCACCCCTCTCGGTCCCCATGAGACCCAAGCCACTGCTACTGATATTTACCAGTGAGTGTGCTCATGAAAAGTTGATGATGTGGGAAACGCTGGTGTCTTTGATAACGCGGAGCTTGGCACAGAAGCAGATGTCTTCCTCAGAGCCTCCCTAATCCTTTGCCCCCACACACCATTTTGGAGCGGCATTCAACTCTCAGAGCAGCTTATCCCCCCATACCCCTCCACGCTCCTCTTTCCTGCCACCACCCTCCACCCTTTGCTCCATTCTACCTCACTGGCTTACAACCCTTGCTCCGTACGTCTAATAGGGGCTCCAGTCTCCCTTGGCAGCCCTTCTCCTCCCACAGTAATCTGCCTAACCATGGGAATAGGGCCTCAGGGAGAGCAGCGGAAGCCCACCTCCAACATGTGGCTGGGTCTGGAGCTGCACACTGGTAAAGACTCAGGAGAAAATGTCAACTTTATGTCACTTACCAATTACATGCAAAAATTCCAATCATATTTAAAGTAGTTTTAAAGTGCTCGAGTTCCAAAACATAAGTGCATTACAATCCTTATTTAAGAGTTGGTGTTTCTTCACTGCTTTATAGCATGTGTCACATTTCGTCCCACTGGCAACTCAAAGTGGATTAAAATTATTAAAGGTCTTGCTAGAGTTAAATGCAAATTTAGCACACAGACACTGAGTTAGAAATGCTAACGAAGAGCGGAGCTTTGGGAAATGATAAGACCAGGTTAAGGGCAGAGGGCACTGAAGATGGACAACGCTGTCCATCTGTTGTGCTTCCTTACTGTCTGTCACAACAGTTTGAAATATTCATCAAACTGACCTGTGATCACTACCAGGAGACCACCCAGCTCTAACAGTTCAGGACTGCACCTGCAGAAGGGTTTAAAAGAAAACTGATATAGGAAGTTGTCACTGAGATGACTGCATACTCTAGGTTTGAAATATCTTCACAGATTTGCATTTCTAGCAGGAAATACCCCCCAAAAAATCTGATGTTCAGTATGAACTGTTTCTCCTAAATTTAGTAAAAATAAAAACCCATGTATATAAAAGTTATGAAATACAGAGAAGCACAAACACAATCCAGCTTTTTTTCTTTAAAAAAGGAAAGAAAAGAAGGATTAATTCACAAACAACACATAATTTTGTTTAACATATTTAAAAAGTTGAGCTAATAAGTAACAATTTTTTAATGTATTTATTTCCAGACAAGATCTTTGGAGATGATATTTAAAATCAAAATGCCTGGTGTGTCTGGGAGGCCTTGCAGTTGTTGTGCGTTGATAATTTCTCTAATCAGGTGGATGAAGAAGCTCGCAGGGTTAATTGGGAGCATACCGGAGTCGCTACATGTGTGAAATTGTATTTACGCTGCATTAAACCACAAAGAGCTTGTTTGTCTGTGTGCATGGGAGAGCGCGTGTAGAAGGTTCGATGAATTTAGAAACGGTAATATGATAAGTCAATAAAAGTGAAAGAGACATCACTTTGTGTTGTAACAAGTGCTGAAATATATTGGCTTTCAATCATGTGCTTATTAAATGGTTACTTCTACCTTTTTAAAGTCAGTTCCTGAGAACACGTTATAAATAATTACTATCTTACCAGCTGTAGCTTTCTGAACAGCCTCTGTTTGAAGAAATGACTTTTTATATATGCATAAGATAAATGGATCAAAATTTGCTGAAAGTTCCTCGCACTTATTTTCTCACTAGAGGTGACCGATCCTTCGAAGCCAGGCTTTGGAATGATCTACCCCCCTCAATTCAATTCAATTCAAGTTTATTTATATAGCACCAAATCACGACAAAAGTCGTCTCAAGGCACTTCACATAATAAATATTCCAATTCAGGACAGTTCATTAGGCCAATCAGAAATAATTTTTCCTATATAAGGAACCCAGCAAATTGCATCAAGTCACTGACTAGTGTCAGTGACTTGATGCACTCCTCATACTAAGCAAGCATGCAGCGACAGTGGAGAGGAAAACTCCCTTTTAACAGGAAGAAACCTCCAGAGAATCCCGGCTCAGTATAAACAGCCATCCTCCACGACTCACTGGGGATCGAGAAGACAGAGCAGACACACACACACACACACACACGCATGCACGCACGCACGCACACTCACAAAGACTAGTAATGTGTCTATAGTTATATTGTGATGGTCTTAGTAAATATTCTATTTGGTGAAAGATAAACTTTATTGTATTTATCCTAGTGGATCTATAATTAAACGGATAAACTAGTATTAGCACATCAAAAGTCAAGGAAAGCAAAAAGTTATTATCAGGAGAGGGAGAATGTTTTAGTGGTTAGCAGCAGTGTGCTAGTCGATGGCCCCCTCCATGAGGCCACCACAGCTCAGCAGAACATCGTTGTAGCTTCTTCTGGGGAGAAAAACACTTAGAGAGAAAATAAAGTTAACAGCTGAAATTGCAGAAAATAATACAGTTAAAGAGCAGATTGTAGAAGAAGGTAGTAGAGTGTGAAAAGTGGTCAGTGTATCCTCCAGCAGTCTAAGCCTATAGCAGCATAACTACAGAGATAACTCTGGATAATCTATCCTATTTAGATGGAGGCATGTTGGAGTCAGGCCTCTTTGCTCTTAATTGATTCTGTTGACAATTTCAAGAGTGAACTTAAGACTCATTTATTTGTTCAGACATTCCACTAGTTATTTGTGTGTAGGTATGATTTCTGTGTGGTCTTGGCCTTTTATGCTATGTTTTATTATTTTTATTACTACTTATTTATTGTTTTATATTTACTATGATGTGATGCACTTTGTGGCTTTTGCCTAGGAAGGGTGCTATACAAATAAAGGTTACTTACTTACTTACTTTTATATATTGGTATTACACAATTATTTTCTTGTAATTTTATAGGCTTTCACAACATGAAATTATAGCAGCAGTAACACTAACAGGGCTTTGGTGCATCCATGGGTTAAATCCAGTAGAAGTTTCCCTAATATTCCTTCCAAAATCCATCCATTTTCCTACACTTATCCAGAGTCGGGTCATGGGGGCAGTTGCCTAAGCAGAGAGACCCAGACTTCCCTCTCCCCAGCCACTTGGGCCAGCTCCACCGGGGGAATCCCAAGGCGTTCCCTGGCCAGCCGAGAGACATGACCAAGCTTTTCACCCTATCTCTAAGGGAGAGCCCAGAAACCATGCGGAGAAAACTCATTTTTGGTCCGCTTGTATGTGCAATCTCATTCTTTCGGTCATTACCCAAAGCTCATGACCATAGGTGAGGGTTGGAACGTTGATCAACCGGTAGAATGAGTGCTGAACTGGAAGGTGACGCTCTCTCTTCATCACAACATACCGGTACGAAATCTGCATCACTGCAGATAAAGCATCTATCGATTTTGCACTTTTTCCATTACTCATTCAAACATTTAGAAAATAACTTGGCATGAACTGCTGTAAATGTAGAAGTTTTGATGGATTTTAGATGGCAGAAATACACTTTGATTTAGGATCAGGGCACAGATATGTGGTGTCCAAACTTTTCAAGACACAAGCAAAAATTGCCAAGTTGTAAATACTCAGAGGCCACAAAAAAGCAAAAAAAAATGTTTTTCATAAATTTTTGTACTTTTACATTATTATTTTTTTTGTTACACCTGCATCAAGAGCAAGTGCTGTCAAGACAAAATTAAAACATTCGTGAATTGCAGTTGTGGGCCACAATAAATCACTCTGAGGGCTGTAAATAGTTCATGGACTGCACTTTTGACACCTTTGTTGTAAATTATCTTTCTCTGTTTGCTACAGTAAGTCAAATAATTTAATTATTGCAGAAACACCTTTCAAACTGGCCAATAAAAGCTAAAGATTAAGACATCTTACTCTCGAGCACCAATATTTTGTTTATTTTTAAGAAAAATAAAGCATTTTTTTTGTCTTTGCTAAATTTTCAAACTTTCCCTTGTCAATATCACAGCAACATTTATTTTCGGGATATTTATTTGTGTTTACTTACTGCTGTGTTTTTACAATGACCACTTCATTATAAACTTTTCTTCTCCCCGCTAGCATTGTCCCGTGCATTTCATTTACACTAACAATACACCAAGCCTCCGAGTGGATTCCCCCTAAAAAAAAAGCATGAATAAAGCAGTGAAAGGGAGGGGATATTATAGCAGACTGACAGCACTACAGTAAGTGCTGAGACATAAGAACCACACGCTGAAGGCATCCTGCTGGGCAGGAAATGTAGGGGAACTGGGTAAGCTGTGCAGTCCCATCAGCACCCTGCTGTTCGCCTCCTTTACACCACTTCCTTATTACCGTGTTTACCGTTCGGCTTTCATGCCTATCGGCCCTCAAACCCACCACACGCTCCAGGCACATGGGCGCAACTTAGAGGAGGGAGTGGAGGGAGTTTGAGGGGGAGAAGGAAGGAAAACAAACATAAGGAGAGGCAGGTCACACCCCATCAGTGTGGAGAGCTGAGCGCAGCAGATTCAGACTGTATGCGCTTTTACCTGCTACCTACAGAGCAAACGAGCACAGGGGGAGCGGTGCATGCCCTGGAACTGAAGTGGCATGAAGTAATGAGATGGATTGAGTTTAATGGCTGGTGAGGAATGGAACAAAGCCATTCACACACACACACACAAACATAGACACTTATTCCGCCACCTGCCAGCCATCCTGAATCACTTGCTCCATCATATATCAAACTCTGCGTTTTATCGGATTAATTTAATTAACGATCTCTGATCAGGGTGGAACGTGTAAGGGTTCCCCTCCTTTTTGTACTCTGCCAGGGAGAGGCACTGTAACAGATCGGTGACCATTATTCCATGTGGGCACACAGAAACACTCACTCAAAAATGGGCTAGCTTCCCAACTAATGTTAAACGGTGGTAGGTACGTTAAAAACGAAGCAAATGGGGACTGATGTAACCTCATCCGACAGCTCTTATAAAAATTCAGCAACTGTGTCGTGGCAATGAAATCCTGCCAGAGGCTGGAGCACTGCACCGAAGTCCTCAGATCCCCTTGCAGAATGATGGTTGGGTATAGAACCAAAGCACCAAAGGCCTGCAGGGTGGCCTTTAAGCCTGGCTGAGCAAGAACTCCCTGTCCTGTCACTTCTCTCCCTACTTTGCTTTCTGTTCCATGTTCAATCACTATTGACAAGTGCTGGAGCAGCTCCCTCCAGGAGAATACCTAGCCTCTGCCAGAAGTGCTAATATAACATTTATCAAAGCTCTGGACACGTATACGTGCTGTCACTTTGTCTGACATGCAGAGAGGTCCGTGCTGACACGGCTTTTGTTGTTGGCCTCTTTGTTATTGTTGATCACCGCAAACAAGGTCCCTTCAGAATCCACACAGCTCAGAAAATTTTACCTGCCCTCTTCACATATTTTTTCACAAGTGTTTGCTTAAGTTTAATGTGAAGGTAAGTGCTGCCACAGTGAATGTGGCAGATTGGGTCATGACGGGTTCGTCCTTTAAAGGGACAAAGAGGCTGCCATCTGCTCCTGTTGATTCTTTCTTTGGTTTTTGTGTTTGTGTGTGTGTGTGTGTGTGTGTGTGTGAGTGAATATCAAATATAAAATGTAAGTAACCTGTTATTATTCTGCACTTAAGAAGTAGGGTGTAAGTGGATGAAAATTGATCCAGCAAATTGCAAAGGGGGTTAAGTGTTTTCTGCCCTATCGACTCTGACTGAAATGACAGTTACATAAAACACTCATTTCTCTCCCATTAGCAGATGAAGCCACGCCAAGTACTACTAGATGTCCACATTGTAGCACTGCTCGAATTCGAAAGGGGAACAAATTTTTTGCCCTTATGGATAAAATGTAAACTCTTACAAATTATAAAAAAGAAAAGAAAAGAGTCATCTGGATAGAATCTGTCATGTTGTCAAGTTAATTTATTTGTGCAATTTATTTGAAGTGGTTGGATTCATTCTGAATTGTTTGCACACTGTCATTACTAAGGGTCATTTCACAGATTCACATTAATTGATATTCTGTCAGTCTGTCAAGGAAAAAGCCTGTTTTAGTGCTGCGTAGTAGCGTTTTTCTGATGGGCTTTACAATAATGTTGATGGCTCAGTGTTTGTGTTCAGAGACCACAACATGCATCTCAGCAGGAAGGCCTTATATTTGATTGATTGTGGTGTGTAGCAGAATACACAAGATGTAATTTCCCATGTGGTTAATTTGAATACAATCTGTCTCCTTACAGGACTTGTTGTGGGATTCTGAGATCAAACTTGTACCATTATTGATTGTAGTGGTACCCGCCTTACCCAGGAATGCAGCCGTTGAGCTTCACGTAACTGCAGCTAAGGATGAGCCCTCCAAAAGAACTTTCCATCGGATCACTACGGAGGTTTCATGTGGATCTATAGAGTGTCAAGCTGTGATGTCTGCTAATCGCAGTTGTGGTTCCTTGTCGGTTGCTCTGGACGTTCAAGGTGAAAACCTGAAGATCATGGATGTGAGATGTGTTACAGAAGAAGTTGGCACTTCTTTCACGAAAGCGTTGAAGATGGTGGATGCTGCACTGGTGCCCCAGTGTGCAAGAGTGTTCTACAAGAGCAGCTGCTCTCTGGGACACCAAATTGTTCAAGGTAGGTACACAACAACCAGTAAGTTACAACATTAAAATCACATCATTTCTGTGTTCTCCCTTATACCTCAAAGCTCTACGAAAGTGAAACAGGGATGTCGGATTGGACTGTGGTGAATTGGGCTTACTTCCTCACATATCTGAGTTGGGATTAAACAAATGGGAGACCACGTTAAAGCTTTAGGATAGTGACCTGTGAAACACCTCAGGATCCAGAATGACTTCAATAAAGTAATCAAAGAATGGCAAACTTAACTCGAAGGATGAGATGTCCACAGAGATTTGCTGGAGAACAACGTTCAGGACTTTTTTTTTTTCTTTTTGTTTTTGGAAGATCTTGCAGGACCACGATTGGTCAATAAAAAGTATTTAATGAAGCAATAATTAATCTCCTTAAAACCATTTTGTCTGAGAACTAGGGCTGTAAAAAAATATTCATACAATGAAATATCGCAATTGTTGTGTTATGATACTGAATCAATATTTAAAAGCAGTATATCGATTATATATTGAGAATTTACATGCAAACATTTACTGCATTTCATTTCAAATTTTGACTGCTAGGTGTCTGCAGTTTTTACCCTCTTCATTCTGACGGAGCAATGGATCATGCAATAATTCAGGACCTGTCTGGAAGTGTCTGGCCTAAATTTTCCAACTAAATTCTGTTTTAAAAAATGCAAATATCGTACAGCTTTAACTATCACAATATATCGCATTAGCCTGTTGCAAAAAACAATGGTGCCACTTTGCCACAAAGTGGAGGTGACATCGGGTAGCCTTTGGTCATTCCTAAGTTGTCAGCCTGTGGCAATAATGTAGCGCGATCAAGTGTTTTTCTCAAAAGAGTACGCAACGGCGGTATAAGGGGGGTGATGAGTGGTGTCCGTGCTGTCGATGCGCTGTCGCAAACATCCTTCTAACTTGAACACAACTTATTTTTATCACAAAGCCAAAATCCTTACATTTTTTAGTAAGGGGCTTCTGTCTTAAGCAAACATTTCACACCTGATCATGACATCACCCTCCGTTAAAGGAAAACTTGAACTTCATGAATGGCACAATAACACTAACCCCTATACCCCGCATTCAAAAGACAAACCGTTGTGACAGAACTACCCTGACATGCTGCTGTTACAGCCCAGCCAGTGAGACTGCAACATAAGGAGGAGGTCTGGATACAAGGTGGGGTTTGAGTATTTTTGAATTAAAAAACACCCAAAAGGACTTACTAAATGGAAAACTTCCGGTAGCTCCCAATGTGATCTTAAAAATCACTCAGATCTCTCTCTAAAGTTGCACAAAACCGGCTTTAATGCTGGACCCACAGTTGCAGCCACTCAGCACAATTACAGACCAATGAAGCGATAGAGGGGCATACGCAGGAACATCCCAAGCTGCCAATCGTCCAGTCGCTCTGGCACAGCGACATTTGTTTGCACAAAACATGGTTGTGGTATTTCTCCCAATGGCAGAGGCCATAACAGCATGTCTTGGAGTGTCAAAGTGTCTCATTGTCTCCTCTGCATTATGATATATTTACTATAAAGTCACCAGATTTTTGCCAATACCTCCTCTAATGTCCAACCCTTGTAACAAATGTTCAAATGCCACCCTAAGGATTTTTTTTAATACTTAAGAATTTGGAGTATTATTTTTCCAATTTTAGCCTGAATTAGCAAGTACAAAAATAAAGTAGTTCCATTACATTTCAGTGAAGTTAGATTTTAATACAAAAATAAAGGATGTTGTTGGATTAAGTAGCGTTGTTTTGTTTTTGCCTCTGAACCTCAGCCCTTATTTCCACCATAGGATCTTTTTATTTTTATAAGATGCCTGTGATGCGTTTTGCAGGTGGTGTGTGATTTATACCATTAAGGAAAGCTACCGCTTTAGTGCTTACTCTGCCACGTTTAGCTGTACAGTACTTCAGTCAGTTCTTCATGCTGTTCAAAGCCCAAAGTTTACCAGGAGATCTTTGACCTCTATCAACAAGATCAGTTTAATTCGCATCACCGGTTAGTGGTTGAAAATTTGAAATGAATCAAAAGCAATCTTGGTTTCATTTATTGAAAGATGATTCACACATCCTGTAATTCAGCATTGGTGAGATGCGCCACTCAGCTTGCTAATAATAAAAAGAAAGCGACAGCCTGGCTTGCTAGTCCCTTCTCACAGAAAGTTTGAGCTAACGTTGGTGAAATCAACATAAAGTATTGAAGGAAACAGCCTCCCCCGAGGATCTCCACTTCTTCCTGTGTTTAATTATTGTAAGTCATTTGTTGTGTCTGGAGCGTCTACAGTAACCCAGGCAGCTGGCACAGTCTTTTGTCATCATTACACTTTTATACGCCACCGTCTCCGGCTCCCAGGATTCCAGGATCTCGTCAAGGCAAATGCTGCGCAGTATTTGTTTTATCCTGAGAGATGTTCTCTGCCTGAGAAAAGGGCAATGAGCACATCGATCACGCAGACTTAGCTGTCAAATCGTCGTTAAAGCAGTCAATTAACATTTTTGAATCTTTGCCAAACCACTCATCTTTCTGTCATTTTTACTGTGACATAACTTTTCATTTTCAGAACGTAGAATTACGGTTTCCTGTAATGAATAGGGAAAAGGTTGATCTGATTAAAATATGTCTAGATATGCATGACAGAGAAACAGAGCAATTTGTGTTGTTATCTAATTACATCATTGTCACTGGGCATTTATTGTGCTTGTCAGTTTTTCTTCTGTCATTCACAACAGATGTTACAGCAGATTTTAGCAAAAGCATATAAATACATTTAATTTGATACTTTAAAATGTATTCTGTCTTCTAATGATGAATTACAGCTAAAACGTTGCACAATCTTTCTCTGGAGGCCTTTTTTGTGTAACAGTTTTACTGGAAAGCCGTTAACCCTAGAACCATTTACTGACTCGTCATTGAGTTAGAATCTGTTACCTTACATTGCTCATGCCAAGCTCTGCAAGTTCACCCATTGGCATTTTTATGGGTCACAGCTTATGCTCACTGGGTGAAGAATCCAAAAAGTCACAGGAGAAAACGTTGCACCTCTGGCGTTAGCAGCCACAGCCCTGCGATCGCTGCTGTCAGCGCGGGCGAACAGAGGAGGGAAATGTGACTGCACAGCCTCTCTTTGATTTACTGGCTTTAGGATTCACAGTTGATAGACGTGGCATATGGTTCAAATGAAACCTTTAAACATCTTGTCGTGACTTGTTACTTACGATAGAAGGGGTCTCTCAAAGGATGGCCACACAGTTAAATAAATTCAAATTCAATTCAATTCAAAAATACTTTATTAATCCCAGAGGGAAATTGATTAATTTCCCTCTGGGTTTCCCCCTAGTTTAATTACAGACCTAAATAATTTTTTTTCCACTATATTTTAATGGTTTGATATTTAAATTTGGGAGTTTTATCAGCTTTAAACCATCATCACAGTTATAACAAATAAAAGCTTGAAGTATCTGGCTTTGCATGTGATGAGTCCATCTCATAAATTAGTTCCACCTTTTAAGTTGAATTATTGAAATAAATGAACTTTTGCACTATATTGTATTATTTCAAGTTTAACCTGTAAACGTTTGAGATCCTTTTTACTAAATGATTTACTGGGATTAGCAAAATACAACCATTTACAAAACAATTATAATAATTTCACCTTCACCCCCTTGTGGCCTCTCTCTTTTATGCATAAACACACGTCGGTGACGAGAGGGACCGAGGGAGACTCAAAGGTAGAGCGCAATTATTTCCCATCCGGTGGTACAAAGATTAAAACACCCTGACATGAAACAGGCTTAGTGCCCAAGGTGTGATGAAGGGTGTGTTTCTTCTCTTAATAAAACCCATCCCTTGTCTGTGATCTCTGTTGCCCGTTGGGTTTTCAGAGAGCTATCTCCAGAGGACCCTGCTTCCCACCGTGCTCTGATAACACACATTTAGGTGTTTTATACCTTCCAAAAAGGGCTTGTGTTCGGTGGGAGCATTTTACGCTGAAGCGTATATTAGCTAATTAGAGTGTGGGGGCTCTTTGTAAGGATGTTTGGCATTCTGTGTGTGTGCTTCAATTGAGAGGGAACAAAGCTTATTATCAGCTTAACAGCTCTTGTAACCTATGTTACTTTGTGGAAGTTCACACTAATGTCACCCAGTAAATTTAATTTTATTGATTTGTTTGTTTATTGCGATTCAGATAACTAATAACGTATTTTAAAGGTGCAGTGTTCATTCTTGGGAAAAGCTACATTGTGCAGAAAACTAAAACAATTCGAAGGTCCGGCCACTTTCTTCAGCCCCAACAATCTGGGGAAACCCCCTCACTTACAAACCTTAAAGAGCGCAAACCAAACCCTGTCCTTTCTGTCTTCTCACAGTGACACGAGTGCACATACACACTTATTCTCACACAACCTAGAGAGTTAAGACTGAGCTGTGGTCTCAGACAATAACCCCTGTTGCACACTGGACGCATCAGCGGTGCGGAACAGCAGCTCGTGACAATCACAGCGCTCCAGCACACACCGGGAGAGTCTCAGCAGCGAAGCGGCTTTTCTGCCGTGCTCTTTGCTGCACTTCTGGAACGATACTGAGTAAATAACTCATTAGGTCACACGTAAACTTGATATATTCAATTCAATTCAAATTAAAAAATACTTTAATCATCCCCGAGGGGCAATATATGAAATCACATTGCCGCAGTACTTTTATTTTGAAAATTACCAGGGATTTTACGCTACAACCGTGTTTGATTTTCTTGTAGCCTTATGGAAACTGTGTTAAAATTGACAAATGCCAGAAGCAGCTCGCGGAAAAAATAGAGCCCGACCCTATCTTTTTGGCGCGGCGTGCCGCTTCTGGGATCATCGTCGTCTTCCTCCGCTTGTCCGGGTCGCGAGGGCAGCATCCCAACTAGGGAGCTCCAGACCGTCCTCTCCTCGGCCTTCTCCACCAGCTCCTCCGGCAGGACCCCAAGGTGTTCCTGGACCAGATTGGAGATGTAACCTCTCCAACGTGTCCTGGGTCGACCTTGGGGCCTCCTGCCGGCAGGACATGCCCGAAACACCTCCCCGGTGAGGTGTCCAGGAGGCATCCTGACCAGATGCCCAAACCACCTCAAATGACTCCTTTCGATCCGGAGGAGCAGCGGTTCTACTCCGAGTCCCTCCCGAATGTACGAGCTCCTCACCCTATCTCTAAGGCTGAGCCCGGCCACCCTACGGAGGAAACTCATTTCGGCCGCTTGTATCCACGATCTCGTTCTTTCGGTCATTACCCAAAGCTCATGACCATAGGTGAGGATTGGGACGTAGATCGACCGGTAAATCGAGAGCTTTGCCTTCTGGCTCAGCTCCCTCTTCACCACGACAGATCGGCTCAGCGTCCGCATCACTGCAGACGCCGAACCAATCCGCCTGTCGACCTCCCGATCCCTCCTACCCTCACTCGTGAACAAGACCCCCAGATACTTCAACTCCTCCACTTGAGGTAGGATTTCTCTCCCGACCCGGAGTTGGCAAGCTTCTGGGATGCATCTGAAAATAGCTGGTTTGTAACGCTCCATTGACTATAATGGATTCTGTTTGAAGCAGTGCCGTTCCACGCCGCTGATGCTTCCATTGTGCAGTAGGGGTAACTCCTTCACCTAAACGTTTGCCAGCAAGAGCAGAACTGGTTAAACAACTCCTTAAATTAAATTTACAAAAAGGGGCGCACTCAGTTCGTGGCACTAGGTAGTTAAACTTACCAGCTCAGTGGCCTAGTGGTAGAGCGTCCGCCCTGAGACTGGGAGATCAGGGTTCAATTCCTGGTCGGGTCATACCAAAGACTTAGAAAAAAATGGGACCCAATGCCTCTCTGCTTGACACTCAGCATTACGGGGTTGGATTGCGGGGTTAAACCACCAAATGGTTCCCGAGCGTGGCCGTATCTGCAGCTCACCCCTCCCTCAGGGGATGGGTCAAATGCGGAGAACAAATTTCACACACACATCAGTGTGTGTGACAACTAATGGGACTTTAACTTAACTTCCTGCTTTGCTGATGTTCTGTACAGTAGGTTGAGAGATGCTCAGAGTGGAAGTTTGATGGATGGGTTACGTATGAGTCAATCATTGAGAAGGGGGACCACCACTAGAACGGATGAGGCTTTTCCAGGATTCTACGTTTAAGAGGTGAATAATCAGGATCTCAGGCAGCACCTTTAACATGCTTTGTATTAGGCAGGCACAAAAACACGTGTCAGATCACAGTGACCACACCCGAATCCCCTCCAGGATGCTAACAAGAAAAAAACAAGGCAACTGGGACACACTTGTGACCAATTAGTGTACAGAGCACAAGAGGGAAGCGGTCACATCCCGGCTGCCTGCTGCTAAATAGACGGGCTGTCATCAGGAATGCTCAATAAATTCTTACAAGTCCACTGTCCAGGCAACAGATTAACACATGCGTAAGAAGAAGAACTCTACAAAATCCAGGGATTAATTCCGTTAGACACATGTCCAACTTTAGTTCATGGCTTCATGACAGTAATCCCTATTTTCTGCCTTCACTCTCACTGTTTTTCAGGTCTTGAAGACATTTTCAGATGCTCTTTGGCCGGGTCCAGTCCCTCCGTGGCTCTGGTCCCAGTCCTGGACCTGCCCGACTCCCAGGTCCTCCACTTGTCCTGCTGGCTCAGTTTATAGTAACACATCACTTTACTGCTTTGTCCGGGCTTTCTGGGGAAAGAACAAAACTAACAAAAGAACGTAGGTGAATATGGGAATCTCCCCATCGGTGCTGACTGCTTTAGTAAAATTTTATGTGCCCACCCCACGTCAGAACCCAGAACTATGGGATCTGAGTTTAAGACTTCAGCAGCTGTTCATTTACCTCAAACAGGAGTCTGATGATCCTTCTCCATCTAACAGTTACATACCAGAGGACTGGAGAGCACGGCCCACAAAGCGGTGTTTCATTTCAGGAGGTGATAAGCTCTATCCCCTGATATCTCACCGGTTCTGGTGGAATTTCTCTGAGCTTGCTAGCTGACAGCCTCTCATAAAGGCCCTGCCCGGCACCACCTCTGACACCATCTGTTCAGTTGTAAACCCACAGATTTACTGTGTGACCGCGTTTCGAGGCTGTGTGTAATGTGTTTGGATGAGGTGAGTGAGTTTCTCTCTCATGCTCCGTGGGGCAATAGATGTGTTATTATTGTGTAATGGGCAATCAGCACCGAGCACCTGAAAAGATTAAGCCTCTTTATGTTTTCTATTGATTCTTAGGCAGCCTGGTTAATAGAAGGACACAAGCACACAAGTGTTTGTTGTGAGTGTTTGTGTTGCAAGTGTGTGTTTTGGTCAGAAGTGTGTGTGTGTTGTAGGGGATGTCAGTGGACAGAGTGTGGCGATACTAAAAGAAAATAACACCATTAACCATCACTTCTGGAACATTTGTTTTCTCAGAGATCATGAACCATATTGATAATCTAAGTGTGAATGCATCTTCACCCCGGCTTTTCTCTCCGGCGTGCTCGCCGAGTGGAGTGGGTTATTGATCTTCACTCGCGATGATGTTCTGATTGTTGTCATCAAAAATTGAACAATGGAGGCAGCCGATAGAGCCTTAAGACTTGTATTGAGTGTTGAAACACACAAACAAGCAATTATTTATAAGTGTGAGCGTCCGATTCTGTATAAACATACAGCGTGTGTTCATGTTTGGATGATTCAAACACAACCCGCTAGAAATGAATCCTGAACTATTAATTGATGTTGCTTTAATGCCATTAGACAAATGTTGGTGCTTTAATTGTGTCTTTACTTGTCAGTAAAAATCTGTAAACCTAAATAGGAGTTAGTCCATGTTTAATCTGTTTGTAGCTTGTAAATACCAATGTACTTCCTTCTGAAGGGATAAAGTTTGGGGTATTTTATTTTGACACTTTATTTTTCAATAAACTAACAAAACCAGAACAAAATAATATTTCTCTTTATTGACTCTTGCATCAGTGAAGCTGTTTTTGTTTACGGATCAACAACAGAAGCTGTGAAGGAATTTTCTCGTTCCAAACTTTTCACAACTCTCAGAGGGTCACCACACCACCAGGATTCTCCTCGCCGCTTTTCCATCAAACTCTAAACATGATATTTTGTCTTTCAGCAGGCGTGTTTTCATACACACTCTGGCAAAACCACAAGTATACCCTCACAACCTCATCCCAACCAGTGTGATGGCCAATGGCGGACACATTTCTTCGTGTCCTCACCACTGTGCCGCCTCTCTAAATGAATAAAGACAGGGTGACATTTAGCTTTTTTTATGTGTGTGTTTTGTCAAATGTACATTTTTCTACCAAGCTGACCTGCAACCACTCTGCAACGAAATAGGCTGCTGTGGCTAATGTTGTCCTTTGTGTGGAGTGTATCAGCCTGCGGCGCTTGTCATTGTGGCCTTGCACATGGACTTTAACTGTGTTTCTTCCTCCAGGCAAGCCCTGCAAATGTGTGTGTGACTATTTTTCCCCCCACAGGAGCAGCCTGGCTCGGGAGTAGCCTCTGCACGAACGCCTCCTCACATCGTGGTCCGCTTGCCTCAGTGACTGCGGTTTTGTTTGTTTTCATGTTGGAATCCTTTTTGTTTCATAATGTATTGTTTTCTTCCTCCCCGATGGGCTGTGAACGCAGGTCTTTATGGTCGCTGCAATGACTTAAACTTTCTGCTGAATGTACGTCTCCATGTGCTGTTTGGTGGTGTCTGCTCCCCTCCTGTGGTCACTTGTGGTACTGCAGTTTTCACAAGCAAGAACTTTCTGTCCCTCTTGTTCTCAGAATACCTAAAGCTGGCTTATTTAATACATCATTGCTTGATAATTATATAATTACTGTATGATAAAGTTGACTAATACATTATTTTTTATTTCAAAGTGCTTAAATATTACTCTCTTTTAAGGCATGTTAAAATGATAGTTTACCATTTCAGCAGTATGCCTTCCATCTTCCAGGGAAGTTATCTGATCCAGACACATGTTCTGCAGGATTGATGCAGAATGCTGATGTGAGGGAACAGACTCTTCCAACTGTTAGTAAATCCCCTGCTAATGCTGTTTGATATGTCTGTAATCAATGGTCAACGTGCCAGATTATTTCTGCCAGCCTGCATTGTTGAAAAAGTTTAAATCATCGTTAGTTCTTTCATGAGGCATTAATGCACAGCATGAATCAAAGTAATCCATGTTTGTTTTAGGAAATATTTCATCTTATTTTTCTTTATTTAACACGTATTTAACAATTTAACATAATTGCAAAACAATATTTAAAATAATGCCTTCACATTTGTTTGACAAGTTAGAATAGTTCTTTTTAAAATTAATTTAAACACTTCTCATGTGTAGAAACTGATTATCCAAAAGAATAAATCCTTTTGTGGGAAATTTATTCTTTTTTTTTATTTCAGTCATTTTTGGATGAAATGTGATTGTTTTTGAAAAACAATAATAATAAAGGCTGGAACTAAACTCTGGTTCTGTTAAACCATGAGTATCCCTCCTTGTCTCAATGAAGCTGGAAAAAAAATCCTAATGTTTTGTTTTTTGTCCTGTGAATAATAATTTTAAGGAGGAGGAGGAGAATAGACAACTGCACTTATAAAGTTACAATGGCTAGTAGAAACACTTCCTGTTAATTCTTTCAAAATTAAATGCTACAGTGTTTTGGTTTTAGAACGAGGTTTCAATCTAGAAGTAGTTTTCTCCATTCAGCTGAAAACACGATTCAGATTATATTTATGTGACGGAGTTTAAAACAATGGTTGTGTGCAGTGGCATACTGGCCACCAGGAGCTCTGAGATGCGAACGTTTTAGGTATTATTTAGGACATCTGGATGGAAAACAGGATAACTTGATCCTCTGGCTTAATATAAAATAAATGTATTTAAGTATAAAATGTCATCAGCATATGTTTATAGTTTAGTCATTAGTTCAAAGGCCAATAAATGTCCAGCTGAATCTAATTAACACACTCAGACAATGCATGTTTTTGTTTAACTTTAAAGGTCAATATTTTTGTTTAAACTGGAAATTTTGTGTTTTGATTTCGCAGTGAATGCATAAACTACTCCAAAAAATAAAAACAAAATACAACAAAAGTCATCAGTACAGAATAGAAATGCAATTCATGTTTGCTGTTTGTTTTTGTCTAAATAAATGTTTAATTTAATTACTTGTGTTCTGTCATTTTATTTGATTGATGGCCACATACTCTGTCTACAAAATGTATTTTTTATTTAGGTCATCTTGATGGAGACAGGGTAATTAAGGAGTTTTTCTGCCCTCTAGCGGACCGAAACTGTTACTACAGCTGGTGTTCATAAAGCTAAACATTTGTCTGTTTTGTAGATTCCTTCAAAATTAAACTCACCATTTAAGATTAATGAATCTAATAAACACAGAGAGACATTGATACTGACATTGAATTAAAAAAAGATTCATAAAATTCATTAACTACATTTTAAGATAACAAATCACTGCTGTTCACATTAAGCAGTCCAACATCAGTAAGAACAGTAATATTAGTAAAGTGTAATTTCTGTAAGAACTAGCCATCTGTATTCTATAAGCTTATTTAAGACACAAGGTGACATAACAGTTCTGCAGTGAAAATGAAAGTAAAATTTAAGTAAATAGAAAAAAATTGTTTTCTTTTTCTACATTTTATTAATTATTTTTTATATGTTTATGTATGTTTATGTTTATATAGATTAGAATAAACTTTATTGATCCCACAGTTGGGAAATTAACTTGTTACAGCAGCACCAACACTTTAGAGGATTATTTGATGAAAAATAATAACAAAGGTACATGTATGTACACATAGGCAGTAATCTAGTATTGTAACCCTTGATCACTAAAAACCACGAATAAAAAATTAAAAAACTTGGGTTGCAGAGCTATGCAGCAAGAGACACAAACATACTATGTAAATCCGGTATTGCACGAGTATTAAACACATACCGAGTATTGCATTGGTGTAATTGTGTAAACAGATAATGCCAGTACAACTTAAACTGAGGAGTTAAACACACGTACTGCAGAGGGCATGAAAGATCAATGGTAACGTTCTGTTTTACATTTGGGACATCGCAGCCTGCCTCTGAAGGAACTGTCCATGGTCTCCACAGTGGAATGCAGTGGGTGGAAGGGTTTTTTTAAGATGGTGGTCATCTTCCCCATCGTCCTCCTTTCACACCTATCCAGTGGGCAGCTCAGAACCGAGCTAGCTTTGTGAAACTAGCTTGTTTGGTCTCTTCCTGTCTCTGTCAGAGCTGCCTGCACCTCAACAGACCACAGCAGAGTGGATAACGGAGCCAACCACAGAGTAATAAATAGATTTTAGCAGCTGGGAATGAACTCTGAAGGACCTCAGCCTCCTCTGGAGGTGGAGGCTGAGGTCCTTCTAATACAGAGCATCTGTGTTGTTGAACAAGTTCAGTTTACTGTTGAGGTGAACACCCAAGTTCTTAAAGGTATCCACCACCTCAGTGTCTGCCCCCTGGATGTTTACTGGTGAGTGAGAAGGAGTGTTTCTCAGGAAGTCAATCATCATTTCCTTTGTCTTACTGGTGTTCAAGCAAAGGTGGTTACACTCAAACCAGTCAACAAAGTCCATGATGACTGACCTGTACTCCTGGTCATTCCCCTCAGACACACAGCCGACAATGTCCGGGTCATCAAACAGCTCCTGGAGGTGACAGCTGCTGGTGCTGTAGGTGAAGTCCGAGGTGTAGAAGATGAGGAGAAAGGGTGAGAGCACCGTACCCTGTGGAGCTCCAGTACTGCACACAACCAACTCAGATTTCCAGTTGTGCAGCCTCACAAACTCTCCTTCTCCTCCAGCTTCATTGGCTGCCAGTCAACTTCAGGGTTCATTTCAAGATCCTGGTTCTGGTCTATAGGGCCTTACATGGACAAGCACCATCTTACATTGGTGATCTTCTTAGTCCCTACACCCCCAGCAGGTCCCTGAGGTCCAGTGACCAAAGCCTACTGGTTGTGCAGCGCACCAGGCTAAAGACCAAAGGTGACAGATCATTTGCTGCTGTGGCCCCCAGACTCTGGAACTCTCTCCCCCTGAGCCTGAGATCAGTGGACTCAGTGGTCTCCTTTAAAAAGCAGCTGAAGACTCACTTGTTCAAGCTGGCTTTTGTATGACCTTCTTCACCACTCTCTCTTTATTCTGCTCTCCCCACCTATTCCACCTTCCTCAGGATCCACTGATTTCCCTCTTTCCTATTCACTCTCTCTCTTTCTTAACATTTTTTCTTTTAAATCCCAATTGCCTATTTTTGCTCATTTTAAATATATTTTTAAACATTTTCTAAATGCTTTTTTATATTTTAACATTTTTTTTTGTTTTTGTGAAGCGTCTCGTGATTTTTATCTTGAGAAGCGCTATAGAAATGATATTTTCTTCTTCTTCTTCTTCTTCTTCTTCTTCTTCTTCTTCTTCTTCTTCTTCTTCTTCTTCTCACAAACTGTGTGGCCTGTTGATGAGGTAGTCGATGCAGTCAGATGCCCGTCCACTCCTACACCCCTCATAATGTTTTGCCCATAATTAATTACAGTTGTGGGCTATTACATTGCGAACTGTGATTACATCTATTTTGCCTCTGAAATATAAATCTGCCTTAATATCACTTCTTTGTTTTTGTTAATCTGCCAAATGTGTCATTTTGATAAACCTTGTAGCGTACCAAAGGCCAACGATTTGGCTATTTGTCCACTGTAAGGTCAGAGAGGTCATCTCACAGAAGTATCCAGGTTGTTCCACCTGCCTGGAGTATTGTGTGACACACCTTAACTGTACTGGTCCCCAAACCAGTAAACATACTGCTCTACGACCTTGTTGCCAAGAAGGGTAGCTATGATAAACCCTTCCCCTGGTTCCCTTTATCTTAGCTGAAGCCAAAGGTCTCCTGCAGAAGACGAGACCTTTACTCTCTGAATGAAGTGCATCTTCAACTTGAATCATAAATTACTTTACAACTTTATAGGTTGATATAATCAAATGATTGAATGAACAATATGTTTCAATCCAAAGTGTTTTATTAATATGTTCCTTAATCAATGATGAGTTTAAATGAATACTTTTCCTGTACTGATTCATTTCAGATCTTAAACTACAACAGATCAGTATTTGTTGATCCTAGTATTTTAATCGATCCGTATAGTCATACATCATAAGATTGTTATTACCGTTTAACATTTTTCTCCACATAACTGTTCTAACAGTTTCACTTCATACTAAGAAATAATCTATACGTATCTGAGTGAAGGCGTGACTCTCTGAGGTCTTTGGTAATGCTCTTTAAACTTGTCAAATTCTGATTTGTCTAAAATGTATCAACAACATTTATTAAATACAAGGATCACTTCCTGATTTAGTTAGTTCTTCGCCAGTTCACTTGGTTAGGCTGACCGGTGAGCAAGCATTTGGAACCATCCTCTCCTTTGACCTCAGGTCTCATATTAAGACTTCCTGTGTGGTACCAGTGCCAAAGACACCGCAAGCTAGAGACCTCAGCAGCAACAGGCCAGTGGCTCTCACATCCCACCTGAAGAAAACACAGCAGAGACAGATCCTGGGACACCTCCAGTCTACGGTGGGACCTTCGTTGGATCTGCTGCAGTTTGCCTACCGGCCAGGCATTGGAGTACATGATATGGTCACCTTTCTCCTACATCGCGTTCTGACTCACCTGGAGAAGTCCGGCACCACTGAGAATCATGTTTTTTTATTTCTCCAGTGCTTTTAATACCATCCAGCCGATGCTTCTGAAAGCCAAAATGGAGAGGGCGGGGGTGGACCTACACCTGGCAGAGAGGATTCTGAATTATCTCACAAACCAGCCCCAGTTTGTGAGAGCCCAGGACTGTGTGCCTGACCTGCTGAACTGCAGTGCGGGCGCCCCTCAGGGGACTGTTTTTACACCCTTTATGTTCACCCTGTGCACTGCTGACTTCAGACACAACACGGACAGATGTGTTCTGCAGAAGTTCTCCGATGACTCTGCAGTTGTTGGCCTGATCACAGAGGACGATGATGTGGAGCACAGAGGACTGACACAGAACTTCGTGGACTGGTGTCAGCAAAACCACCTCCTGATCTCTGTAACGACTCATATATCTGTAACAACTCGTTTATCTGTAACAACTCGTTTATCTGTAACAATGCCACAACTGTCATCACCTTTCAATACATGTGCAATATTTACTGCAACAATCATTATTATGTGCAACAACTATCAAACTCAGAATTCAACACTTTTTCAATTCTAAGTAACATATTTACATCCTTTTTGTGTGATATATTTTGTGTACTACTTCTATTTTACTTTATTGTACTTGTGCTGTTGCAATACCACAATTTCCCCACTGAGGGACTAATAAAGGTATTCTTATTCGTAGTATTGTGAAACCATACAGCCAAACTGATTTTACAACCCAGACATCACAACATCTCTCTGACACTTACAAGTTTATGCTAAAACATCTAGCTTACATTCCATCATTTCATCCATATTTTGTCATGTATAATCACTTAGTTTAGGAAAATAGAATTTTTTTTCTTTTATTTCATTCAAAATAAAAACAAATAAAACATATAAACAATAAGAAAGACATAACAAAAAAATTGATTTGAACGAAAAGGAGCAGAATGAAGAAAAACATTTAATAATTTCTGCCCCCTTTTTCAGTAGAAATAATCAATTTATACATAATTACAATTTGTCAGACACACATACAGATTCATTTTAAACCTTTTCCTGTTCTAAATTCCAGTGTGATCATGATCATTGATTTAATTTACATTTTCATAATTAGTTAGTAAACTCAATTTGGTACATTTTTTGAATAAATTAAATGACAGTTTTTTATTTCCCTTTTAAGGCTATTCCATAATTTAACACCATTTACAGATATATTCCACTCCTTAATTTTTGTTATAAATCTAGGTTTTGTAAACACATCAGTTTCTTTCAGCATCCCTTGAATGTTTGTTGGCAGAGTACCTAAATTGGCTTTATACATGGTTTGTAAGATTTTCCAGTCTTTTAAATCATGAAATTTCTGTAATTTATATTTTATAAACAATGGGTTCGATGGATCTCTACAGCCACTATAATTGATGATTCTCAGAGCTCTTTTCTGTACAATAAATAAGGGTTGTGTACAGTTTTTGTATGTTGCTCCCCAGATTTCTACACAATAATAAGTCAAGTATGGAACAATCAGTGAATTGTACAATGCCAACAAACCAGAATTAGTCTGTAAAAACTTGACTCTATGTAATATTCCTAAGGATTTGGCAATTTTACCTTTTATGTAACTAATATGGGATTCCCATTACTTCATCAATAAGAACTCCAAGCAATTTAGTTTCTTTTACTCTTTGAATTGCAGTCCCATCTATTTCCAATGACACATCACTGTTCTTTTTTATCATTAAACAGTATAAAATTTGTTTTATTAAGATTCAGTGTCAATCTATTTATATCAAATCAGTTTTTAATTTTAATCAGTTCATCATTAATCATTTAAGCCACCTCCTCAGTTAATTCATTGTTTCAACCATATCCTTGACTCTGTCTGAATTAATCTGAAGTGTGTGTTCCCTGAATAGTCAGAGAACCTAAAGGAATATTAAAGACCAACAAGGTTCATATTCCATAATAATATGGAATATCACATCTTATTGATCATTTCACAAATACGCGGATAATCCTCACTACTACAACACACACACACACAGAGAGAGAGAGAGAGAGAGAGAGAGAGAGAGAGAGAGAGAGAGAGAGAGAGAGAGAGAGAGAGAGAGAGAGAGAGAGAGAGAGAGAGAGAGAGAGAGAGAGAGAGAGAGAGAGAGAGAGAGAGATTAAAATTTCTATTAAAAAATCTCACTCCATGACTTTTGTAAAAAATTGGCTGAGCTGTGAATTTATTAGGTGTAATTTAACCGCTCTATGTTCAAATTCGAACAAGGAATGTAAGGGAACTAAAGAAACAGTTTTGTACATGAGGGACAGTTTTAGTGACGTACCTATTCCAGGAAGTGGAACGCTAACAGCGCGTCGTGGTTGTATACATGGGTAACTTGCTGTAGTCATACGATTCATGAGAATATAAAATAATAAAGGTTAGTAATGTTATTTTTGTTTTTTGTTCGTGCTGTTATGTTAAAAACTAATAGCAATAATACCGTTTTTATCTAGAACTTTCTTAGCTGTATCTAAGCGTGGCTAACCAGTTAGCTGTTCTGTCCATTGTGAGAGCTAACATTTACTGATGTGTTTTTGTCAAATGTGTCACAGGAAACTAAGAAATAAAGTAAATGTGAAATCTGCTACTTTTTTTGTTCTACAAACCATTGGTTGTTACAACATTGGACTGTGGATTAGATTTTTCCGTATATTGTTGTCCAGAGCTGTTTCCTTTGAAACGACCGCTATCGCAGCCCTTCAGTGATTAACTGTATATTTTTGCAGCTGTGCTAGTTACTGTTGGACATGGAGACCACCACAGAAAAAGGAACTCCCGCTAAAAAGATTGCTGCGCCTTCAGTGTCTCAGATAAACGCAGAATATGTCACGCAGGTACTCGCATATTTGCTCTCCTTATCTAATCCTAATATGTACTGGATAAAGATAACTTAACTGACTCTATAGGAGTTAGACAAAGCAGAAAAAAACATGTTTTCATTACGTTTTAGTATTATTTAAGCACTACTAATACTATATATATATATATATATATATATATATATATATATATATAGTTATATATATACATACATATATATAGTTATATACTACTATACAAACATCAATATATTTTGTCTATGTCTGTATTTGAACTTCTTGGCATCTGTTTTTCAGTTGGCTAATAAATATTGGGCTCCTCATGCAAAGGATAAACTGCCTTTTGACTCTAAGGTAAGACGGACAAAGCAGCATGGTAGATATGCAGTGAGAAACTTGTCGATGCTTGTGTGATTAAGATGCTCTAATGCTTGTGACAGCTGTTACAGCATGTTATTCTGAAGATGCTGTCCACTGCTCTCATTAAAAAAGTCCCTGTTATGCTGTGGTTCTACATTAAGGGAGAATTTGCCAATACATTTTAAACAAATCAAGCTAATTAAGCTCCAGTGTTAGCTCTTACACACACAAAGCTGGCATTGTGGAACCAGAGAGTGACAGCAGCAGGATTGGTATGTACATTTCCAGTGCGTTTACATGCAGCCAGTAACCCTTGCTTTGTTGCACCTTTGCTAACGTGACTCAAAGGTGTAAGCAGCAACGTTCCATCTCAGTCATTTCACAAAGTGAAAAAGAGGCATTTCAAGTCTTTATCATTCACATTGATGACAAGACAGTAGGGCGGTGCCATATATCAGCCACAATAGTACTGATTAGGGCTGGACGATAGAGAAAAATGGTATATCGATAAATTAAACATTTTTTTTTACTGATATTGATAATTATTGAAAAATATTTTATGTACACCCCTAACCATTTTATTTTTGGTATTTTTATTTTTTATCCACCTCTTCTCGCTGCGACATCTTGCTGCCTCATGCTCTGTTTTGGTTTGGGGAGGTGGGCCTGGCAACATAGCGTGCCCGAGTCTGTGGTTTTTATTGGTTGGGAGTATGTAGTGAGTCTAGTGTGCTGTTACCTGATAGGTTATAATGAAAAAGGAAACTTTTTATCTCCACCACATGTCTATCAATAGATGTATTGAACTATGGAATTATTGTCCAGCCCTAGTACTGATCTAAACTGACGTGTGATTAAAAAAATCATACTGTGATATAAATTGTGACATCATAAGGCATGTGTTTCCTTGTGAGTGCACTCATTAACTAGGTGATAGCATGCAAAAGTCTGTAGCTAGAGTCACTTCCCCACCATGCTCAATAGATCTCAGAAAATAAGATGGAAAGTGGTCTTTGTTTAAAATAATAGGTGCTGCTACCAGCAAGTTGCAGTCGCAGACAAAATGTTCTTATAATTTATATTTTGTATAATGTTATTGCAGATTTCCTTGAATTATTTTGAGTCTGCTTCACCTACCTTCAGAAGAAAGCTGACTACTTTCAGCATTTTTAATGTAGCTGATCTAGTAGCATATATTAGCCCTGTTTCTTAAAAGAAAATCACACAGGGCCTGAGTTTTCTTCTTCCTAGGAGGATTTATTTAGGCCAAGCAACATGGCAGGTTGAGTTTAACTCCTCACTGTTAGTGATGCCAAGGGAGATGGTCACAGAGCCTAAACGGTCAGCGTGTGTAAGGGTAGGCTGTGTGTGATTCAGATGGGCGTGCCAGACACCAGTTTTAATTGTAGTGTTCTACATTAGTTCTGTTGCTTTTTAATACAGAGATGAATGTTTTTTTTTATTTATATCTTGTAATGCTTTTCCTGCCTTTTGTTTGCCTTGAGATGATTTCAACATGATATGATGTGTGTTCAGGTTTTGGAAGATGTGTACGAAAAAGAGATTCTTACATCCAAGTAAGTAAATAAATAAATAGCATTGCTGGTGTTTTTTAATATTCTATTTGTGCATTTTTATTTATTTTTTATTATCTTTTCTACTTTCAGATTTTCCATCAGAAAAATTATGCTGCTTGAATTCAGGTGAACATTTTCATATATTCATTCTGCAGATTATTCAGCCCCCTGGAAGGGATCAAATTGTGGCCATACTATTTGCAGGGCAGATAGTTAATTTCCTCCTCTTTCAGTCAATACCTGGAAAATTACCTTTGGGTAAATTACACGCCCGAGGTGTCCAGCAAAGCCTTCATCATGTCCATTTGTTGCATCGTCAATGAAAAGTTCCGAGAGAATGTTCCAGCTTGGGAGGTAAGGAAAATAACAACATCATGCTTAGAGAAAATGAAGCTCTGCGTAAAGGTTCTGTTACCATACTTAACAGCAGAGGTGATTATTTAACACAGTATTAATGCATTTGTGTCATGATTATTAGGTTTTTAAGAAGAAGCCCGAACATTTCCCATTCTTCTTCAAGTGTGTGATGGAAGCTGTGTTGGCAGGCGACGAGACTGACCTTACTTTGAAGGAGCAAACTGTTCTCCTGGTCTTCTTGGACCACTGCTTCAACAGTCTGGTGTGTAGCACCATCACATCCTGGGCTATTCTGCTCAGGAAATACATTCTGGAGTTGGCCTAGGGTTTTATATACATATATATATATATTAGAATCAAAACAAAATGATATGATATGAATATTCAGACCTAATTTTCACTGTTAAGGCAGTTATTAGTAATGCCCACTAGGTGGCAGTAGTAGACAAGCAAATCAGCCACCCGGCATCCTGAAAAGCTGAGTGACTAAAGAGAAACAATGCAGATGTTTAATTTCTTTTTAAATGGAGTATCCTGCTGCATTTTGATTGTATCCTATAAAAACATGTAAACATTTTGGTCACAGGGCTAAATTTCTGTCATAACTCTGTATATTTTTGTCTCTTTCTCCTTCTGCATGCATGCACCTCCCTCCCAGGAGGTGGATTTGATCAGAGAACAGGTGCAGCAGCTCATCTCTCTGCCAATGTGGATGTGCCTGCTACCAGTAAGATGTTAACTTCCTGCCTTAATGAAGTTTCTCTGGGGGTTATTGGCACCCCGAGTCATTTCACTATCAGGACCTGTCTCCTGTCTCTGACACTAATCAACAGTTAAACCATCTCCTTCTCTCTTTTTTTTATTATTATTTAATTTTCTGTCACGCCTGCAGTCCAGACTCCAACACGAGCTGAAGAAAGTCCCAAAGCTGCAGAAGTTCTGGAATTTAATCAAGAAGAAATTTGATAAGATGGATGCTGATGCAGCTGAGCGGTAATATTAGATTCTGTGCTGACCTGTTCAAAACATCAATACAGACTTGAGAAAATAGCGTGTGATGTTCCAGCTGTGTTCCACAGTCTTTCTGATTTGTGTTCTTCGTGTCGTCTTTAGCGCAACCAGAGAAAGGTCCTTCCTCTCATCTCTCATTAAAAAGTTTACCGGAGTCCTCATGTCAATTCCACCAACAGGTAATAGGAAATAATACTTTTATCTATTTTATGATGCTGTTTGATGAAACATAGGAAGTTGGTTTTTTTTTAAGATTATTTTAAGACATTTTTATTGAATCATTCTGGAATTTTATTCTCTGTGTGTCTTTAGGTCCGTTGTTTGGTCCGTTTGTCTTTCTTTTTGTGTTGTTCCACAGCGTGCCCTTTTTGTGACAATAAAAAAAAACAAATATTAAAGCTAAGTAAGATTTCCTTTCAGTGGCCTAGTGGTAGTGTTTGTCTCGGGACTGGGAGATCGGGGTTCAAATCCCGGTCGGGTCATACCAAAGACTTTAAAAATGGGACCCAAGGCCTCCCTGCTTGGCACTCAGTTTTAAGGGGTTGGATTGGGGCGTTAAACCACCAAATAGTTTCCAAACACAGGCACAGCTGCAGATCATCGCTCCCCACAGGGATGGGTCACATGTGGAGATTCATTTCGACAGCGTGTGCTGATGGCTAATGGGACTTTAACTTTTGTCTTCCTACTGGTTGAAAGCAGAATTACAACTATCGTAAACAACCCTGACGCTGCCTGCTGTAGCTAAAGCTAACACCGAGCTAACTCTAACACGAGCCAAATGATACTAAATAAGCTACCAAGTAAAAAGATCCTCACTGTTGGACAAAACATATTGTTACAAGTCCAGTAGCAACAAAGCCAGGTCACCATCAGTCCGTGATTGCGTAGCCTCCTTCATCTCCCTCAAACGTGGACCGAGCAGATGTTCACTCTGGTTTTAGCTAAGACATTTCTTTCTTAGTTTCACTTCCAGGCTCCACCATGATGCTGACAAAAAAGGCAACATTATTCTTCTTCCTCCTAAACTTTTTTATTGATTTTGGCAAACTGACGAAGCTAACCTTTTGATTAGCTACTGGCACAATAAACAGCTATTGTCATAAAGCAGAAAGAGACCTCCCACTAGCGTTCCTACCCAAACCAATAAACTGCTATGTGTAGTTTCTGGTCAACAGAGGGCTGTCGTGTGAATTTTCTCAAGTTTATGTCTCAATAACCACTGAAACCGGTTTCAAAGCAGTAGCTTAAAACGTAACTCTTTAGCATTTCTTTAAAATGCAGCCTTTCCTTTAGTTAGACCACACATTTAGTTGCTGTGTTTTCTTCTTTCTAAGTGGTCCAGCAGCCACGCGGCTACAGGCACAGACTTCAGTTGTAATGCAGGCCGACACACAGGCCCCCTACCTGAATGCTATAAACAGAATGTGTGTTTAGATAGAATTCAAGCCTGACAGACTGGATTACGGTCTAAAGCACAGCAGGATCCACATCACTCTGATGCTTGCTGCATGCCTCAAACATTAAGTAAACACACACACACACTCATGTGTAAGTATGCTTGATGAGGAGGGAGGTCCCAGCATGCTGCTGAGCTGGCCGTGCAGCATCTCAGACAGAGTCCCATCCAATCAACATGACACTTTAATGTTGTCCACAAGCGTGTTCTTCCCTCATGTCCTCAGGTCAAACCAAACATCCTCTTCTACAAGTCAACATCTAGTTTTTATCATCAGTTTTTTTTTCTGTGCTTCTTTGTATTATTTATTTGTTTGTTATGGAGGATGAATTGTTTGATGTCAGCTGAAGTGGCATCCTGAAACATTCCTTTATGTTCCACAGGGCCTGTGTCCATGGACAAAGTGCATTACTGTGAGAGATTCATTGAGCTCATGATTGATTTGGAGGTAAGACACAGTTTTGTTTTAATTCAGGAGTGAAGGCCGATGCACTCGTTAACACAGTGATAATGTGCACTTAGGCCTGGGACGATAACAAATTTTGCTGGACGATATGTTCAAGTTATTGACGATAAACGATATTATTGCCGATAGGGCTGCACAATATATCGGAAAATTATCGTCATCACGATAACAGGACGTGCGATAGGCCCATCGCAAAGCACGTCAACAACGGTGTGAAATGTTTGGTTCAAACATTTCCATCCGTGTCATACATCACCTTTTTGTAAACCAGCTCTGTTTTTTACGCAGAAGTATTATTTGACCAATCAAATGTAGCCCTTCTGATATGCGGCCAATCAGATGGGTCCGTTCACGTAATACGCCCGCCCCCTACATAGACCCTTACCCCAAAATTCCACTATCTCCGCTCCGCCCCAGCTTTCTGCTGCCGCTCGCTTCCCTTGTTCGTCATGCTGGCTCAGAGCAACTAACGCACTTTGTGCTGAGGTTTCTGGAATCAGCGCTGCTTTCAAACGTGAACGTGAGTCCGATCGGTGTCGTTAAGCAGCTGATAATAACCGGGCTGACTCCGACACGTGCCGGTGAACCAACCCACCGTTAGCCCCAGGCTCCGGTTAGCTTCCAGCTAAAAGGCTACAGAACTCTCCTCCCAGTCCCACCCTGAGCTGCTAAAGAGGGCCTGGAAAAGTTCCCCCACACATCAAAGTGATTTTTCATCTATGAGCTTTTATAACCTTGTTAACCAGGATAGTTGGTTTGCTGCTGCACATAAACTGTCAGTCAGAAGCTCTGCTAGCCGGTTATCTTAAGTTTTTTGTTGGCTTGTTACCAGAATCATAGTTGCAGTTTCATCATCTGAGCTGTTTTTTAAGATCTAGGTAAACTTGTTCAATTTGGGGTTAAAAACAAACGTCTTCACATATTTTCCATGTAGTTTTTTTTTTGCCAGTTCCTCTTCTGAAAGGTAGACAATTGTTTTTCTCTTTCCCTCAAAAAATCTTAATATTCTCCAAGTTTGGCCCAGCACAGTTCACTTCCCAATTACAGCAACAGCCTTATATCGTAACCACATAAGTGGAGAAAATGTTCAGAAGCAATGAGAGAATTTGCTGTTGCATTTATGTGATGTTAACTATTATTTAACATTTAAACTTATTTTCTGATTTTTTTATTTATTCAAATAAAAAACTGGTAAGGGATGTTTTCTGTATTTGGAGCATCACAAAAAGTTTTATGGTGGTGGTGATGTTTTAAAGTCACTGAGAAACTGCATGCATGCAGTTTGTTGTTTTGCTGCTAATACAGTAGCAGGTGCAGCTGCATGTTTTTTCAATAAAAATGTTATGTTGTAATGCAGGGTGTCCGCGGGCTTTTAAAAAGTATTAAAAAGTGATAAATAAAAATAGTCAAATTTAAGGCCATTAAAAGTGTTAAATTTGGTCACAGAGGTATTATTTTTTCCAAATTAGGTATTAATTTTTTCGGATAATCAGGTGTCGTATTCTGAACATCGACATAGAAATATATTCCGAATGAAATGTTATGAACGATTATAAAAACAAAACAAGCCGATTATGTGCTCCTCCCACTTACGCTGCCCTGAGTTGCAAATGAAGCGCTCCTCACAGTGTTGCCAACTTAGCGACTTTGACGCTATTTCCAACAGCTTTTCAGACCCCCTTCTTGACTTTTTAAATCTTAAAAGTACCTAGCGAACACCTCAGAAACATCTCTGGTAACCCTTAGCTACTTTCTGGATAACTGTCGTCGACGTTTCCTGCAGGTTAGCTAAACACTCCGCCTGCGCTGCGGACCGTTCTTCAGGACATTAGGAAAGGGAATGATAGTCGCTAAAGACAGCTCTCGGAGCCGGCTTCTTGTTGGATTAACCAGAGTGAGTGACACACACACCGTACCTGCGGACTCCTGAGCCGCTAAAAACGGCTAAATGTGCGCGTGCGGCGCGTGCGCGTGCAGCTTGCCCCTGATAGCTGTGAGACCGGGTTGGGGGGTGGGGGGTGCAGCTGTGGTTGTGACAATTATTACATTAACTGATGGACGACTTGTAAATAAATAGTTTATAAATAAGGTAGAAATGAGTTCCTCACGCTGATAACTAATAACTAATCTCTCTGAGGACACGGTGCTAGTGCACGCTCCTAGAGCACCTTGACAGGACTCAATAAATGTTATGCAAAATTTTGTGAACATCAATTTGCATGTATTTGTTATAAATGCCACTGTATAATTCTTGTTGTCAGTATTTGCAAGATATTGGTATTTGGGTCTGTTCTGGTTAGACTTACATGAGTTAAACCAAGGTCTATAGCCCTTGGGTCATAGACTATGAGCTATAAGTATATTGGTCTTTTTATACTGGGAATCGGGAGTTATTTTAGTGATCATCTTGCTTCTTGTTTATTTTTGCCCTGATTGTGCCCTGAGCAGTTTTATGACTGAATAAAAACAAAAACAAAAATCTACATGAATTGAAAAATCGTCTTAAAAAATCGAGATCTCAATTTCAGTCACAATAATCGTGATTATTGTTTTTGCCATAATCGAGCAGCCCTACTTTAGCATATCCGGTCACATAATGATGACGTCATATTCAGTGGTCGTTCTGCATCATTTCAGGCCTCGTGGTCAACTGTCTGGACCGCTGAACAGAAGTGCCTGGCTTATTTTCTAAGTAAAATAAATATGTGCAATACGTTGTCAACATCAGTGAGTCTCTAAGTCTATTCTTTTTGTATGTTATATATGTTAAAATATGTGTAAATAGGTCGCTGATTAACACTTGCAATTAAGTGTTGTGATGGTTTTAAAAAAATTCTGAAGGTAGTAAAAAAAAGTATTAAAAAGTAGTAAATTTTACTTAAGGATTGCTGTATATACCCTGTAATGGAATTCATGCATTAGTTTTTGTTTGCTTTGAACCCAGAGCAGACGTCACACGCCAGACAACATCAACACTGCATACTTTAGTATTTGTTCATTTATCGTGAGTAATATCGATATCGCAATATTAAGCACTGTTATCGAATATCGCAGGTTTTCCTAATATCGTGCAGCCCTAATTGTCGACATTATCGAGACCAAAATAACCACTTATTGTTAGAGAAAAGAGAGGTCATTTGCCTGGTGGCCATGGGTGAGTAAAAAACATGTTTTCCTTATTGTTGTAAACAGCACTCTAACCGCTTCTTTGTTATCTCAGAATTTGGTATTTTGGAACAGAGCATTCTGGGTCGTCAGCACCCCCCCCCCCCCCCCCCCCCACACACACACACACACACACACACCCCACACCCCACCCCTTGACTCTTACGGCGCTCACTCAGGCCTGAATCAAAAGGGGTGGGAGTTGAGACAAATGTTGGTTCAACTTTGTAACTATGCCCATGTGTGTATACAAATATGCATTGAAATGGTAGCCTAGTGAACTAGACCAAATTCTTGCTTTGCAAAGTTTGGTCTAGGAATGCTCCACTGGAACCTCTGCAGCCCCAACAGCAATCTGGCTGGCCAATCACAGTTCTCTAGAGGGGTTTCAAACACATAAAGAGCCATCATTGGCCCATAATGGTGGGCCAATCATAGTGCTCTATCTGCTTAGTGAACAAATCACAGAGCTTTACCCGCTTTGTGGGCCAATCAGGGCACTCTGTATGCCTGATGGGTGGGATGATGCAACAGAGTGAAACAAGAGTATGTCACATTCATTGTCCAGTAGCGTGCGGAGATCATTTGAAAGACAACGGTAGAACCCGCCCCACAACCGAGAGCCGTCAATGGAGCGTTGCCAGACCAAATAATACATTTATTTAGTCTGGCATGCCAGGCTACTGAAATGGTGGATCACGTATGCAACGTTTAAGTGAGGGTCAATGCATGGGCGTTCTGAAAGATGCGTCACCTGGCTCAACCCCCCCACGTGTGCTGCTGGAGTTTCTCAGTCTAAAAACGAGTTGTTAATGAGCGCGTGCACGCAAGCAAGCAAGCACACACTCACACAAGACTTACCGCTCAGGAGAAAAGTAGACACAGATTCTGCAGCATTCTGGAGGATTTCCTGTTAATTAGATGAAAAGGGGAGGAGAGTGTTTTTTTTTCAAGGAGACAAGCGGCATCGGCAAGTGAGTGGCTGAGCCAGGTGGAGGTGCAGCTGCCTCACTTGGAGACCATTGCAGTGCAGCCACGTAGTAATTTGCTGACAACGTCATGTTTTTCAGCTTAGCCATCAACCATAGCTGGTTCTGAATAAATGTAGAGCAGAATGTTTAACCTGAAGATGGAGATATAATTACGGTTTCGGGCTGAAATATTAAATTTAAAGTAAGTTGCACTAAACTGCCACTAATGATTACACATGTGTACAGCAGCATTAGACACTCATCTATACAGGTTATCAGCAAAAGTAAGTTAATTTAGGTGTAACTTGCTCTTGTATATATCATAATAATGCAAGTACACCCTTTAAAATGCACTTTTAAACCTTTATTTAACATTGGAATGTCCAGAACCAGAACTTCTAAATAAATAAACACAAAATAAATAAATAAAAAAAGTACTTTCACCCTCTGTTAAAAAATATTGCACCAAAAACAATAAAATAGACCCCGCCTCTCCAAAACAATAAAAACCGTGCCCTGTCCAGTGTCAGCAACCAAAACTGCACCTCAATAATGATAATCAATAATAATAATAGAGTTGCACATTTCTGAACCTCTATATATTGAGGCTGGAAAAATTGAGTTCATTTTCATCTATCGTGCGATTAATTGATTTATTATTATCATCCCAGCCCTATGTGCACTAGAAGTGTGAATCTGACCTAGACATCAGGGTTTGCTGTGTGACAGCAGTTTTACTGCCTTCATTCTGACCGAACAACAGGATCGGATCATCGTCTGGGTTTTAGTATTTGCAATATATCGTCTCCCCTGTATTTAGATGCACATCATATTGCCAGATTCTTG